AGTGCCAGAAGAGTCGCAACTCCGCCGATGAGAGAACCTCCACCACCTACACCAAGAGCAGTGAACATCTGGGCCGTGAATAGAGGAGCGGCAGCACCGCCAGCCGATCGAGCAACTGTGTTGGCAGCTATGACTGAGGCAGCGTATTGGGCGTATGTGTCGGTAAGATAGTTGATTATGGCAACGTAGACGAGCATTAGAGCGGCAGAGAGGAAAGTACCCGCGAGAGTCGGGACGATCCAAGGAACAGCGCTGTTATGTGTTAGTTACTCTTACTTGTGTAGAGAGATGGAAAGCTGAAGACTCACTTGTAGTTGGCCGACCATGCGAGCCAGAACATGGTGATAGGGAACGCAACACCTCCAAACATAGCCATGAGAAGCCGATCCTCGGGCAGCAGCGTCTTGCCAGCCGCAGCCTTGCTTCGCCTCCGCTCACTGTCAACGAAGATGACCATGGCTCCCAAAACAGCGCCAACGACCTGGCCGAGGAGAGGGAGTTGCGAAACGCCAACGTTCCAGCCCCTCATATCTCTGAATACAATAGGGTAGATGCTGAAGAGCATGAACTGAAGAGTGAATACGATGCAAGTGTAGATAGAGCAGAGGAGAGAGATCAAGTCAAACATGAGGACCCAAGGTCGCGTGAGGGCCAGCTTGTAGACGTGGGCGAGTGAAGGCTTATCTTCTTCTCCCTCCATTATGACCTTTTCATAGCCAGCAATTCCAGATTTCCGGACACGCTTTGCCTTTTTCGCCAGAATGGTCGGTGCATGCGTCTCGGGGATTAAGAACATAAGAAGAACCGTCAAAGCTCCGAGCCATAAGACGGAGTACATACCCCATCGCCAGTTCTTCTTAAGCTGAACGAAACCGGACACCACCGGCCCGAGTGATGGGCCAACCCAGGAAGCCAAGCTGAAGATTCCCGTGGCGTTTCCTCGCTCAATAGGGTCCCAGAGGTCGACCAAAACGCCCGGGGTGGTGCTCAGCGGTGCAGAGATAAAGACACCAGCCAAGAATCGACCAACGAGTAGTGATCCAAAGTTTGTAGGGAAAGCGCAGAGAAAGTTGAAGGCCATATAGGCAAGAAAGGTGATGTAAAAGATCCACCGACGACCATAGAACTCAGAAAGCGGCGCAAAGACAAAGGGCCCTGCGCAGAAGCCGAGCAAGAACATTGTAGTTGTCAAGCTCGCAGCAATCTCTGATATTCCAAACTCTTCCATGACAGAGTCGATGCTGCCAGAAAATATGCTTGAGGCAAAGTTTCCGTTCATTGCGAGAAATACTGCGACAGAGGTAATGGCCCATCTTCTCTTGAGGGACCAGTTTCGCGGGTTCTCGAGATCGTCAGGCGAGAAGTCGACATAGCCTTCTTCATTGAGATAAGGAGCTTCATGTTTTATGGTGCCAGTATGAGGCTTGAATGTCATGTAGGAAAGGGCTCTGCCCACTTGAGCGGTCATCTTGTAGCTTTGACGCTCTCGTAACTGGTTGGAAAGTGATGAGATTGGAGAATGTTAGTAGGTAGCCAAAGCGATACATGCCTGAGCCGGTAACCATGGAGAGCTTGGGCACATGCCGTATTTATAAGTTCTCAAGCCCTACGCCTTCTTCAAGCATCATGATGAAATGTTTTGTTTTCCAACATACAATTTTCACCCTCAAGGAGAAGAATCTCCACCACGGTGGCCTTGGTTGAGTTAAGTTGACGTCAAGTTCTCCAAGTGAAGGTATACCGACCACAAGCACCAAGCCTTCTTCCCTAGACCAACCGGAGGTCAGCTCCGAATCTGAATTTCAGACTCCAGGTCGCGGCTGATTTTCCCATCTCTATTCCCCCCCGGACCGATATTGTATCAGAGCTGAGTGTCGCCCCTCTCAGCCTTTTGGTTTCCCCGGACCCACAAGCAGCATATATCAGGCTCCTGAAATGACTGTAGCTCGACGAGTTTTGCGGTTGAGGGGACGCGGAAAGTTTATGAACCACTCATAATGGCCATGTAATGACCATGCAGCAGTCCAAAGATGATTTCCCTGGCTATGATAACGTGGGGAGGCCGAATATTTCCAACATGGCATAGCGGTCCGAGAAAGCATGGAAATCCAACCTTGTACATACCTACTATGTAGATCCCTTGTGTAGGTACCTAGGTACCTAAGTCAATATCCTGGGCTGGCCCCACGTGGAACATGTCACAGCATTCGGGGCCAATGACGAATCAGGCGGCTTATATCGAGATTTAGAGCTGAATTTGGAAGATTCTCTCTGTCTCTGCATGGGGACGAGGACGTATTCTGGTGGCTACAAGAAGATTCTTCAGCCATCACTTCCCACGAACAAACAAAGGGGAAGAGTCTGTCTCATCATTGGTACATACCTAGGTTTCTCACTGTCAATGCGTTGGATGGCAATTTGTTTTCAGTTTCCCCTCTCTTCCTTGATCAGCTGTGGTCGTAGATTTCATTCCGCGCACGGCAAAGTCTCTATCGACGTCTTCTTTGTTGCTTGACATTTAATCCAATGTCTTTCTTTGCCTTACCTCGGTGTCCAAAGCAAGGTACTCACTTACCAACCTGGGCAATCTCCGCTTTCGAGGTGCTGTGTCCCCATAAACTCATCACGCAACAAGCTATAGGCACCTACTAAACTTGCTATTGCTGCCCCATTCGCTGCTAATGAAGTTGTCATGTTTTAAATTTTGCGACGCTACCTTGATGTAATGGATGTAATGCTGCTATGGAGGCAATCTGCAGGTCTTGTTCAGCCATTTCCACTTTAGGTGTTTTCTGGGGACCCATGCCCCCCCCCCCCCCCCCCCCCCCCCCCCCGCCGGGTTTGGCATTTCTGCAAGGCACCGCTGCCGTATTGTTGATGCCCGGTTGATCCATAGGCCGGTGTGTCCTGACGATAGCTTCATTCCCTTCTCTAGGTAGTCACTATATATTGCGTCTCCCTCAGCACGCCTTGGCCCTGACTCACCCCAATCTCGGTCACCGGGGCCGGGGCCGGGGCCGGGGTTCCATCATGCGTCATCCTTCAAAAGGTCCGTTTATGACATCTTCCCCTCGCCGACAACGAATGGTAATTTTGCTTCATCTCGATATCTTCTGTGTAGCGCTTTAGGATATACAGAAGAGAGATCAGCACACAATGACTCGCCGGACCAGAATCTCCGTGCGGGCAACGACAGGGACTCTCCCTTCCTAGTAACAAGGCTCTTCTCCACCTTGTAGAATCACCATGTCAAGTCGATCATGCCCTGGACAACATATGTTTCGTGACATACATCAGGCAACTGTATAGATCCGTCATGTGTCCTTGTACGCCTGGCTTTATGTTCAAACAAAGACAAGCGTGGATGAACAGGACACCGTCATTTCCAGACCCGGCAGGATGTCATTTGGGTATGTACCTCTGAATAGTATCACTAGGTAGCTACCATATTATGTAGTGCCAGCCTGTATGGCTGGTAGCTTCCAGCAATGCATGTCGCTTTATTTCCTTCTTTCTTAACGATCGCTGGCTATTTGTTCAGTCTGGAGTTGTAGATGAAAATACATACCCTCCCTCATGACAAAAGTGCCGCCCAGCGAGGTGTGTGAGCCGTGCAATTTAGCTACCCTAAAGTTGACAGATAACCCCTCAACCCCGCCAACATGATGAACTGTCTTGTCATGACAGCCAATATGATCCTTATAAATGAATGAATGAAAGGACAAGGGCAGAGAAAATATCCATGCTCATGCAATCAGAACCCGCACACATCGCAATAAGCCACTGCGCTTCCTACAGGAGACAGTATTCCCATGGAAGCTCACCTATGACCTACCATGCATTAGCAATTGATAGAAATCGTGATAACCATCCATTTATGATGGGCAGCAGCAATACAACAGCACCCAGTAGACTTCAAGACTAGCAGAAGCCTGTTGTTTCTCGACATGATTTTTTCTTTCTTTTATAATGAAACTATTGTACAACTTTTGAAACTGGAATAAAAAACTCCATATTTTTAGCAAAGCTTGGAGAGTCCCCTCTAACATCAGAATCCATGAGTAAAATCAGAACCAAGTCCAAATTGAAACCATCCTTGAACCCCTTTCATATGCAGTCGAGAAAAAAAAAAGATGCTGCAGTTCAGCTAAATGTCACCATACGCCCATATGCTTTTCCATCCATGCCTTTTCGTTCATCCGGTATGACGATGATAACCCTTTTAAATATGCCGTCGTAATCGACCACCCCGTGAACATCCAGTGTGGCGGGTATAGCAATCATCCAGCAACACTTGCCGCTCACCTCTGTAACCTATCACTACAACTACCCAGCACCAGTCGCACCCACTCGCATGTACTGCTGGGGTTCTGGCGCACTCCTTTCCAACCTGCAGTGTGCCTTCGCATTTCACAAAACCATCCTTGGAATACGCCCCAACAGAAACCAATACATCAGGCTGTTAAGCCAACCTTCATTCCGAATTTTCCTCTCCAATGGTTACCGGCTTTTCATTATAGCCTCGTGCACCAGGGTGTCGTATCTCTGTGGCTTGTGTACGTCGTTCTCTTCCTTCAATCAGTTCTGATAGGAGAAGACCTTAGGCAAAGACCTCTTGTCGCCTCGTGGTGCACTTATAGCACTATAACGTACAACGCAAGTTACTATCAAGCACTCGCCAACCACCCGTTTGCTGTCTGGCTCAGAACAGTGTAGTGCTATATGAATCCTTGGGTCATCCATACAGCCTGCTTCACTCAAGGCCTATGAACAAACGAGATCGCTATCGTAACACGTTTTGGCATGGTGAATATGAAGCTAGCTCCGGGCCACACCACGAAAATCATAAACACTTATAAATCTGGGACGCGTCATTCGTATCGACCCAGACCGGGGAAGGGAAAAAAGAAGAAGAAACAACTCTCCCATATACGCCACTTTGCAAGCATGAAAATGATAGAGATCTCTGCCACAGCCGGTACTCCACATCACCAGGGAGGCTACGATTGCGTCGTGTAAGCCTCCCCACTATGCACACCGTTGGTAAGCGGCGCAGTTTGTTCAGCATGACCATTGGTCAAAGCTTCAACGCTGGTGACTTGGACTTCACCCTGAGGGCCAACGAGGGGAATTGTCCCGGAAGGTGAGAAGTCGGGAACAGCCGCAGAAAGCTGGGTGTTGCCATTTGGAACAACCCCGTTTGCGTCATGTGGTGCGAATTGTTGGAGAGCATGGCCATGAGGATAAGCATGTGCGCCATACGGCATAGCAGCGATGTCGTCAAATTGGCCACCAGGGAAATGGTAGTGTCTGTTCTTGAAAGTGACGCTTGAAGGGCCAGCATTGCGGGCCAGCTCATCTCGATTTTCCATAGAATAAACGAAATGCTCCCAATTGTGTCGCCGACGTAGTCGCTCACACTCATCGTCGCCAACCACGTAGTCGACTTCAGTCGAATCCTCACAAGCAGCACGGATGATGTTCATGTCCACAGTCAACTGCTTGATGCGCGAGAACGCACTAATGAAGTGGAGGGGGACGAATCCCTGGGAATCCATGCGCTGTCGAAGGTACTCGTCTTTGCAGAGGTTCTCGATGGAGAAATAATATTCAATTTGAGTCTTGATCGTGAGGACGAGCAAGTTGTCAAATGGAAGGGAGTGGAAAGGGACTGCGCCCATGGGCGCTGCCATAGAGTAATCGTAGGGCGAATATTGAGCTTGCACAACAGGCATGCGAGATCCGCCGTTCGGCACTGATACACGATGGAAGTTGTTAGCGCCATTGCGACCACGGCCTCGCTGAGAAGGAGGCGTAAACATGCCACCATGACCACCCTGTCGCAATGGGGGGCTATAACCCTGAGATCTGGCAGCGTTGGCGCCTTGGCCATGGAATCCGGATGCAGAAATAGCATGCTGAGACTGTGAATGGCCGTGATGAGCACCTCGTCCTCGGTAATTGCCTCGACCTCTCTCACTGCGGCTATCATGCCTATCTCGACTTTGGGAGATCTCCTATTCCAAAAGCAATCAGTATAAGTCTCATACAATAAATACACTTGCGCAATCTCATGATAGCTGTGCTCCACAGGGGCATCATCGTATTACTCACCGTAGACTGGGCCGTCGTATCTTTGGCCTTCTCGGAGCCAGTGCTGGCAGGGGCCTTTTTCTGACCGTTAATACCATCCACTGCTCCGCGTTTGACGGCTGCCATTTGTGATGCGGCATTGTTGGTGTTGTCTTTAGGCTTGGTGTCGTTGGTCTTGTTGGCGGGCGCGGTAGATGCGGTTTTATCCGCTACACCGTTGGCCATGCTTCGAGGAGCGGCATCTCGATTACCACGAGCACCACCCCGTGGCTTAGAGCTACGCATTTGAGGAAGCTGGGTTTCGAAGCTGACTGTGGGGACATAGTCCATAGCCACCCATTTCTGTCGGGGCTTTGACGCGCTGCCATCTTCTTGACTGTCCTTATCAGAGCGGTCTGATTTGTCGGGTGTCTTGTCTGCGCTCTTCTTCTTGCTGTCCTCCTTAATAGCCGTGATTGCAGTCTCAGGAGTTGGCCATGCCGTAGAATCCTCGACGGATGGGGGAGCCTCATTCTTACCATCCTTCTCATGTATCCGTGTCCCCCGGGGGCCATTGCGTTCCGGCCGCGCAGTGCTGGCCGGCTTTTGCTGAGTCTTGATGCCATTTGTATATGGTGTTGTAGCAGATTCCTCAGTCTTCTTCTCATCCCGAGATGAAGTGCCATTCACTGTAGCTTCCGCAGGTGTGGGAGCAGGTTTGACAGACTTGGCCTGCTGGGCCTCCTTTCGCTTATGCCAGATGTTGACGCTGGGGATAGGTGCTTCTGAGAGCTCGACCTTGGGGGCCTCAGTGACCGCCTCCTGCTCCTTTTCTGCCGTCTGATCACTGGGTTGCTTCTCAGAAGTCTTGCCCTTCTTATTTCGCCTAGCCTTTCGAGAGTCCTGCTCGTCTACAGACCGGGCAGTAGTGTTTGATGACCCCGGTGTCTTCTCGTTTCGTCGCCACGGGCGCTCTAGCCTTCCAGAATCATCTTCGCGTCTCGAGTCTGTTCGTCTGCTTTGTGTCGACTCGGAGCGGGCATCGCTCTCGGATCCAGGTATACTCTCGAGGCCTTGCTTGTCAGAGAAGGTAGCGCGGTGCTCCGTAGTCTCAGGAGCTTCAGAGCTGGCGTGCTCAGTAGCAGCAATCGACTTCACGTCGGTTGCGGGAGCCGGAACATCAGCATCGGCAATGGATGCCTGCGCGTCCTGGGGTGGAGCAGCAGTATCGGCGACAGCTGTAGGATTCGAAGCAGGGGCAGTGCCCTGACCCTTTGCAGCTTGTGCGTAGGAAAATGTCGATTGAGTGGCCATTTCGTTGGACTCAACGATGGCGGATGGACTCATTTCAGGTTGAGCCTCGTAGGACAGGCTTGCCGTCTTAAACTGGTAGGAAAGTTCCGAGCTGAAGGTGCCGAAATCACCTTGGTCGCAATAGAAGGGAAAATCAACGTATTGCTCAGGGAACGAAAACCCCAGGATGTCTCTCAACCCCTTCCACGCAAGGAGAGAGGCAAAGCACCTGTGTGCGATACAGTGACTATCTGTGGACCTCTAAATAATGAGGGCGCAGGGATATGAGATTCTTGGACAACGAGTCGAAATTTGGGGATGCGTATCGAGTACGAGGGTGTAAAACCGAGTCAGGTGTCCGTTGAGCCGAGGTCTTCAGGCCAAAATGGACGACCAGTCAATCGGTTGGATTGTGGGCGAAAGCCGTGGCAGATGTTTCTGATGGAAAGAGGGAAGGATTCTACGATGTCGCAGAGGCGTTTATTGAATCGAAAAATGGTAGCCTGGCGACTAAGTTTCGACGAAGGGAGGCAACAGAGGGGGGGAAAAGTAAGACTGGTGCGAACAGTAGGTAATTTTGAGGCAGTAAACCCAAAAATGTTTATGCTACTGTCTTGCTTTGCCTGCTCTCGTAAATAGGAAACAAGAGCGTGTCGGACAAGAACGACGTGTCGATTGAATGAACTCGTAGCCTAGAATCAGATACCAGAAACAAATCAGATCCGAGGCCGGTGTATTCGCTTGTTACGTTGCTTCGTCGCGAGGGTATCGAGAGAAAACGCAGAAGGCCAGGCGGCGGGGTGGTTTTGGTTATGATTGATGGGTTTAGAAATGATTCCAGAGGATAGGTAGGGGAAGAAGGACGAGGGAGGAGGGGGGGGAAAGGATGAGGTAAAGAGACGTAGTATTCGTAAACCAATACAAACTGATCTTCAACGGCAACTCTTTTCTAGGTAAATTGAGTAGGCGAGAAGTTGTGGTTTACAGAAAGAGGGCACACGGATACCAGGGAATGAGAAAAAGAAGGCCGGAGGTTATTTTTTGCGTTGTGTGAATAATAAATTTTTTTTCCTGCACTTCTTCCCCTCTCTCTGATCCGCAGGCGAGCGGTACCACAGAAATATACCGCGACTAAGTGATTTAGAAGGTACCGCTGCGCCGAGCGGGAATCCTTGGACCTTGGGAGATGGATTTGGGAAGGGGTCGGGTTGGAAGGATGGAGGGACATTCTTTTCTTTTCCGCTCTAGGGATTTAAATTATTTTTTCTTCCCATCCGAGACGCCCATGAACCTACCTATAGAGCGACACTTATGTTCGTTGTCATTTTTCCTCTCTTGTTTGATTTTGGCTCATTTGTTTCTACAATACTGCATGTCCTCTACACTAACAGCAGTTTGATTGTCAAACATCGAATACGGCACTATAACATCCAATCGTATTCTTCTTCCATGACTCGCATGTTTGTCATTGACTGATGGAGATGCATAGTAGGACTTACATCACTGATGTGCCTAACTATAATCAGTGAATGCATTGTTTGAGTACCTACCCCAAGTCAGCGATGGAGTTCTGCCCATCCACCGAGTAACAATACCTTGAGGGCCACTGTATCGCTGACTCAAGCCTTGTTGATTTGGAAGAACCCTGCAGCCGACGGCACTGAACACCATTGGATACCAAGCTGCTGCCTCGGGTTCATCTTTCAGTGGGATGCAGGGCATGGCTTCCATTTCTTTTTCTCGTTTGCGCTCCACTCTGGGTGCACCTCACTGCCAGAAGCCGCCGTCATCCATGGATGGACGTTATAGCACCCGAGACCCCGAAGAGGCCTACAAACAAGGGCGTGATAGATGCTACCTCTTCAGCCGGAGCCGGATGACCGTGATAGGTGGAGTTGCGCGAATATAAATCGGCTTTTCTGAAGTACCTTTGTTTTACTGTACCCATGAGATCATTTACCTTTCGCTTTACGATGTTTGCTCTGTCGAGCGTGTTTTTGTTATCTTGTACCAGCTGCGTACACAGTGAGCTGGCCGTGCTACCACAAGCACACCATACATAACCATGTCTCTGCACGTCTCTTTGTCCGGGAAAGCCTGATCTGCGTGGGTAATCTGGAGGTCAGTTATTTCATACATACACTCTCGGAGTTAGTAAGAGTCTTGGTTTTTTTTGGTCTTTCTTTCTTTCTTTCTTTCTTTCTTTCTTTCTTTACTAAGGACAGTTGACCGGGTCGAGTGTATGACATTTAATGGATCCCCCGGGGCTCGTGTAAGAAGAAGCCAGACTTTGTTTTAGATAAAAATATACAAAGTTGTAAATCAAGACGCTGAGTCTACGGTAACGGGCTAGAAATTACGCAACTTCTGGCTACACATCAGGTCACGTTCGATCCACGAGCACGCCAAGAAGCAAATCAGCAGGTTGTGAACTTGCAGAGCAACTATATGAGAATCTGCATACGTCTCGAAAGACCACATATGCAGATGTCTAGACAAAGGGCAGCAAGGCATCTAGTGATCATGAATCTCAACAGCTTCGAAAAATCATTAGGCAGTTGAATACTAAATCGAGAGATACGAATCGTAAATAGGTAGGTAGTTCGTGCGCCGATTGTCTTTTCAACTTATACACACTACTACCTAGGTAGTCTGGTGAATTTCCCCGCGTCATAATTTTACTTTCAAATGCAAAAGCTTATTAAAGCATACGTCATTGCATTTGGAAAGCTGCCTACCTGATTAAGGTTGATTTCCTGTTGATTACGGTAAGAAGAACTTTTCTTCAGATCCAACACAGTTATATTCTAAACAACCATTCTGTTATGATTAGGTACTCACGTACCTAAGTACCTAGTACTTTTCCAACTCTGAGGTTTCCTTCAAACATCCAAGTGGCTGCAAAATCTTCCCAGATTTCATTACAAACCAATGCCACACATGTATATCGGTTTGCTCATTGGATACAGCACCTGATAACTTGCCCTTTTGGGCAACGATTACCTAATCATCAATCACCATAACGTGCATGATAAGCGAGTGCTCCAGACAAGCGAGTGCTCCAAAAATCCCTCAACCTACACTATCACTTTTCAATCAGATATTTCTCAACAATCCAATATGCCAGAGTCTCCAAATGAAGCTAAGATTATTCTTGCCCTTCAGGCCCTCCAGAATGACCCAAAATTAAGTCTTAGAAAGGCCGCAGCTATATATCATGTTGACCGCTTTGCCT